TTGGGCGCTTGCATCTTCTTTGGCAGGTCTGACCGGGACATCATCCACTGTTATTGTTCATGACTGCGCATGTACCAAGGCTTCGTCTGTTGTAGCAAATACTCTTTCCACGACCGCGCAATCTCCATCCAAGGCTGACGATACCTTGATGGCCACACAGGCGGCTGGCTCCTCCTCGAATATGGCACAGGCTACTACGACAGCAGCTAGCACTACTTCCGCGGTCACACATACTCTCGCAACAAGTATAAGGGCTTCAACTCCATCGCCAAAGACCCGCACTCAATCGACAGCAGCCAGTGCTCCAACCCCATCGTATGTGTCATTTAACGTCTCATAGGATACTTGAATGCTGACAACCTGTCCAGTCCAATATCTCAAGTAGATCATTCGCCCGCGACAAAAACATGTGCTGCCCCTACCACCAAATCACCGGAGACCTACTGGCTTGACGAGCAGGACCACAATCAGCAAGGAGCAGGATTTGCTCCCTACGCCAAAACGTCGCTCTACCCGGTGTATCGCAATGTGATGGACTACTCGGTCGTCAATGATGGCAGCGGTAATCAAACTCCGAAATTACAGAAGGCTATAGACGATGATGGGGCGGGCGGCAGTCGCAAGGGTCAAGGTGTCACGCGGTATCCTGCCCAGGTCTACCTTCCAGGCGGCGTGTACCAGCTTGAAACCACTCTCAACCTGACTGTTGGTACGATAATTGTTGGCAATCCGTTGAACCCACCCATCATCAAAGCTGCACCAGGTTTCCGTGGTGACTATCTCATCATGGGGTACGATGTAAACAATGGCAACCCAGAAACCAGCTTTGCAACGCTTGTCAAGAATGTGATCGTTGATACGACAGCCCTCAGCCCGGACCGCCACTTCACTGCTCTTCAATGGGGAGTTGCCCAAGGGTCGGGTTTGACAAATGTCAAAATTCGCATGCCAAAAGATTCCACGGGTCACACTGGGATCGATATCAATGCCGGGTCAACAATTGCCGTCACAGATGTGGTAAGTAATTCAGAGAAGCCCAAGAAGAAGAAAAAGCAGCCTAACAAAGCGTAGGATATTATTGGCGGAGCTATCGGGATCAAGAACTCCAACCAACAGGTCAACTTCAAGAACATCTATTTCCAATCTTGCAAAACAGCATTCTCTGCGGCAGGTGGGTGGACGGTGTTGCTCCAACAAGCAACCTTTGATAGCTGCGGCACTGGTATCGATATGACTGGAAATGGACTGGGTAGCCTAGTGCTTCTAGATTCCACTTCCACGAACACGGGACCAGTAGTCAGATTCTATGACTCGTCCCATGATTCAGGATACCAAAATAGTCAGTTTCTCATTCAGAACCTCAAGCACGATACTTCGAACGCTATCGCGGTCGACGCTCAGGGCAAAGTGGCATTGGCCGCTAATGCTCATGTCGACACATGGGTCTGGGGTACTGTTGTTCCAGAAACCTACCAGACTGGGGTGAGCTGGGAAACAAAGCGGCCGGCCGCTTTGCTGGTTGGAGACAAATACTTTACGAAGGCCCAGCCCACATATCAAGATCACAGCACAGCGGATATTGTAAATGTGAAGACCGTATCTGGACACACAGTGAAAGGTGACGGTAAGACTGACGACACCAAAGGTCTGAACGCTATCTTGGCTGAAAATGCCGATTCGTGCAAGGTGACATACATTCCCTTTGGTGTATATCGAGTCTCAGACACTATCTTCGTCCCAGTCGGAACTCGCATTGTCGGAGAAGCATGGTCTGTTATTTCTGGATATGGCCAGAAGTTCAAGGATTCCGGCAATCCGAGACCTGTCGTTCAACTTGGCAATCCTGGCGACATCGGTGTGATTGAGATTCAGGACATGCGATTCTCCGTTGGCGAAATCCTGCCAGGGGCCAAGATCATTGAAATCAATGCCGCAGGTGATCAGCCCGGCGATATCGGTCTTTGGAACACGATGGTGACGGTGGGCGGGACCGCTGACACAAGTATCTCCAGTGCTTGCACGTCGCAAAACCCCAAGGACTGTATGGCTGCGTTTATGGTAATGCACCTGACCAACAGTTCGTCCGCATATATTGAGAACTTCTGGGGATGGACCGCCGATCACAATCTTGATAGCGAGTCAGCTCTCACTATTATCTCAACAGGCCGCGGAATCTTGGTCGAATCCACCAAGGGCACCTGGCTGACTGGAACCGGTTCCGAGCATCACTGGCTGTATAACTATAACTTCCACAAAGCCCAGAACGTCTTTGCGGGTCTTCTTCAAACAGAAACACCGTATATGCAAGGCCAAGGCGAGTACCAGGCCGCACCAGCGCCATGGACAGCTGTCGCCAAATACGGTGACCCTGATTTCTCGTGGTGTGCTGCAGATGATCAAAAGTGTCGTACCGCGATAGCTACGAACGTCGACGGCGGATCCAACATCGCGCTGTACAACTCAGCTGCCTGGGCGTTTTTCGACGGGTACTGGAATGGTCTGTACAATATGCCTTGCGAGGGGAACTGCCAAACCAACATGATGCGGGTGACGAATGACCCTCAGAATTTGGTTTGGTACTCGATCAGCACGCGCAAGACGGATGTAATGGTGCTCGATGGGAAGAGCAATCCCCGTCAATCAGACCACCAAGGCGGGTGGGAAGCCATCATTCAGGTGTACGGCCAGTTTACAGCGTGATATTCGTCTCATTGCTTCATCATCACTGGACATATGCATTTTGTTAGTAATTTAAACCACAGATAATAATTAATGAAAGTCATTGCTTCTCTATTCCAATTTCCAGCATGTTCCATCCATGGCATTTCTCCTGTTTCTTTTTTTAGCGGGTCGCCACTGGCACGTGAGTTTATGTGCTGCCTCAGGCCGACCGGTGGATAGATTCCGACCCGCATCGCCCCCGGTAACTGAGTCCATAACCAGTTATGATTCAGATTCACTTGGCTGCTTCGCTGCCCCTTTGCAATATTAAAGGCACTCAAACCTGCTACATGACGCGTCATTGAAATCCCTTGGCTATCTTTAACTAGCCAAAAATGCCACAGGGGTCGAGATACTTTGAAATTGCGAGTGGGATTCATTGTCACAATTATAATGACGGACGCCGAGCAGGAGTTGACCCACTGTATCGGTGAGACGCGCTTTCATACCATTTGTCTACCACTTTGTGGGCAGTTGATCTCCCTCCAAGCCACCCCAACGGGGACGGTGCCGGCGTCTCCGGTGCGAATCGAGTTGTTGGGATCGCTAAGGCAGCAAAATACCCAAACATTGCTGCGATGTGAATTTTCCGGAGTGTGGGTTGTTTGAATTGCTCACGAGTAGGACAAACCATGCTCACGCGAGAACATGAGAATCAAGCTCATAGAACATGCACGTCTAACTCTTGGTTTCCGGGGGTAAGGGACTGAAAGGGACTAGGGCGTTGAAACGGCTCCAATGCTTGCGCCTCATTACAAAGTGGACCCCAAGACCTCGGGATGATATAATTTGCCCAAAGCCGTCTGGTGGGAGACCCTGTACAGTTCTCTAACACGGTACGGAGTAAGTACATAGCCCCTCTATCCCTGAATGGACCCTACGATCGACATCAGAATCATTCTTCACAAGGCTGAGCTCATCTCGCCACTGCCACCTCGGCTGCCTAGCATCCAGGCGCAATCAATCTCCGATGTTTCTATCTATAGGAGACTAGTGCCCATTGACCAAATATAAGAAGTAGTAGTTTCCCCCCGGATTTCCAGCTTATCATTTTAATTCACAATCTAAATATCCTGTTCCTAAATCACACAACACCCTTCCAATCAGTTCTTCTTTCTCCAATATGAAGTTCACTCTGATCTCCTCCGCCCTCTTCCTGGCCACCGCTGCCATGGCTTCCCCAGACGGTGTTGACGTGAACTCTATCGTCTCCGATGTCACAGGCATCGTCTCAACTGTCGTCGACGGTGGCCAATCCGTCGGATCCGATGTCGTCTCAATAGCCACCTCTATCGCCGAGGCCGCGAGCACCGGCGGTGCCGCTGCCATCTCATCCATCAAAAGCGAGGCTACCTCTATCGCCGAGGCCGTGAGCACCGGCGGTGCCGCTGCCGCCTCATCCATCAAGAGTGAGGCTTCTGCCGTCGCTACCGATGCTAGCTCCATCGGCTCTGAGATCACCAGCCGGGTTGCCACCGCCGTTTCTGCTCAGACTACTCTTACCGACTCCGCCGGCTCGGCCACCGCTACCGAGTCCACTACCGAGTCCACTACCCTGACCAGCGCAGTGTCCACCACATCTTCCGACTCGTCCTCCACTGATTCTTCTTCCGGCTCCTCCTCCACTGATCCTTCTTCCGGCTCTTCGTCTACTGAGTCTTCTTCCGGCTCTTCCTCCACCGCGTCTCCTTCTAGCTCTTCTTCTGTCTCCGACAATGCGGCCTTCGCTCGTCCCACTGCTGTCGGCGCTGTTGCTGCTGGTATGGCCGGTGTCCTTGGTGTCATGATTGCACTGTAAATTGTTGATACCTCGCTCCATTGATTCTGGATTTTATTTCAGCCATGATATCCGCCACGCCTTTTTTCACGATTTTCCTAGTTGTCTCGTCATTTTCTTCCTAGCACCTGGGGAAAGAAATTTAATGCCGGCGTTCTGAGGCTGTACATATACCTCGGCTATTCCACAAATTCATTTTAATATGCTCATGGCGAGCATTTTATTACCAATTGAACATATTTTTTATTGATCCCACTCCCTAACATACTTTGTCCGTTATATAGAGTGAACAAAGACATAACTTAAGATCCGATTAGTGTAAAGATCAAGAGCGAGTAAAGAAGTTAGATTAAGCAATAGTAATAAAGGGTACCAATAACGAATACAACCTTGCACAGGTTTCACGGTGAAGACTAAAAAGACAGAAACACCCCTTCCCTCATCACAGCAGGGATATCCCTCGAAATGAGGAGATAAAACACCGGCATATCGTGTCACCAGATCATTCATCCGTGTCAGAGAGCATTACATAGTCAACATACGCATGATCCTTCGGTCTCTCTGGTAGCGTGGTCACTGAGAGGCCATCAGCGCCGTGACCCGATGCCAGGACGTTGTGAGAATCCACGTAGCTCACGAATTTGTACGCTGGGTGTATTAAACTATCCCACAACGACAACGGCATTGATAGAAGACATAGAGAACACCCCTGAAGGTCAAAAACACCTTCGATGGTCACCTCGGGGTCCATTTCTGATAGCGACCTCTGCCACTCTCCGACCTGGCCGCGAACTGTTTTCCCAATAACAGACACGGAAATAAGGACGCGACACCTAGGTAGTTGTCTCTGTGGTGTCGGGTTTTCTATTATCCCGTGATTACTGAGACAATGGAGGATGGTTATTGGTTTGCGACAGCCCATGTATTGAGGAGTATAGCGCAGCTTAGTACTTGGGTCATTGGCTTGGGTACAGAGAGCTTCGTGAAGTCGGACAACAGTACGAAATACTGGTGGCTCAACGTGTAAAAGTTCTGTCAGACGGGTCGTAAAATTGTTGTTTACATCGTAAGTGGGACCGTTTTGATCGGAAATCTCGTTGCCTGTTGCGAACAGGTACTCGGCGTAATTCTCACTGCGTTGCAATATTCTTTGCAAGCTGTGACATGGCTGAAGAAAGTCTCCGGAGTAGGATGTATCGATGAGAACGAGGACATCTGCCTTCATCCTAAGATGGATGGCACGGGATTCTAACTGCATCAGGACTGCGTGTTCCACTGGGAGTCGATATCAGTAATACTATAGGTACAATGGATGGGTTTTATTAGGGTCCATACCATATCTCGAACTTCTGTTCTGTTTCGGATACACCATGGCCGATATAGTGTATCACAAATAACGCGCCCCGATAGGGACAGTGAATATCAGTGTCCATTCCATACTTCTGACGGAGTTCAAGAATTGTGCGAAATATTGCCTCCGATGCAGCCTCCCTAGAGGTTGAGGGAATAATCAAGCTAGCCGTGTCGAATCCAAATTGTGTCCGAAATGTCTCAAGAAGTGCAGATTGAGGTTTGGCCAAGTCTAGGTCGTCATTGCTCCATCGTAGGCCAAGTACGACGGCTTTATTATAGGAGATATTGCGATGCTTACTATTTCTGACTCCTCGGGTCAAGGTTTTGATGACGTTTTCAAAACTTCCTTCGCGGTCCACATAATGAGTGGTTGGGTGACTCGGGGAAGGCTGCTGCCATTTAGACATGCTGGAATCTGAACAAGGACAGCCAGCTGAAAATGAAAGCAGTTACAGAAACGATAATATGATTTCACCAGAATTTAAAGATGGTGAATGGTGAAAATGACGTGGGGAATACACTTCCTTTATCCCAAAGACTAAAACATCATCCAAACACACCTACGTTGACCATGTCTGTTGGGTTGTAGCTGCTATGTACATCGTGTAGACCAGCGAACTTGAGCTTGATTGCATTTGCCGACCACTTCCAACTCGTGTTCCAAGAGTGCCAAGCATCTGCTTCCAATTCAATATCCACACTTATACATCAGCCTCATTGCCAGTTTGAATTATTGACTCCGATCCGGTAGCAACCGCATTTCATCGAGGGCCTCTACTATATATATAATAGAAAAATTTGTTCAGTACTTCCCAACGTTGGTTTGTCATGAATCGCCAGTTATCCATGGAGCAGGCTTTCGGACAATGGAGTAGCGCTAAACATGCTCATCAAACCCATTATCTCTTCTAGATGTTGGAGGGGCATCGGCGTTGATGGTACTATCTGAACCAATCAACGACTCCTTTCTGGCCGCATCTTCCTCGTTATAATCCTGACCAGGGTTGATCATCTCCCAGTGCACAAAACAAAGGAGTCGGTAGAATGCAGAGGCAAGAAGGGATCCGAGCAGAGGACCGACCCAATAGATCCAGTGGTACCCCGGAAACGAGCGGTTGATCACATCCGGTCCGAGGGAGCGAGCAGGGTTGAGAGATCCTCCGGTGTAGTAATCACCTAGTGTGAAGGATCAGCATAGTACGTTGTGAAGTAATCCGAGAATGACTGTCACTTACCAATCAGTTCTGCAACAAAGAAAGCCAGACCAATTCCAACTGGAGCTAAATAGGTGGACTTATGCTTCACCACCGCCAACATGATAATGACAAACACAAGCTGCGCTGTCAAAAACATCTCAATGAAGAGTCCTTGTGAGATTGATGCACCACCGCCGAGTCGCGTCGCGCAGTTGAGCGGGCCCGGGAACAGGGCACTCACCACGCCCGCCGCAGCAATTCCGGCGACCAGTTGCGCAGGGAATACATAGAGCCCCCGGAGAGGGGGCATGCCGCCACTCAGACAGAGAGCAAGAGTAACCTGGTGAACGTCAGCTACAAATCTTTTCATTCCTGTATGATGATATCCATACCGCCGGGTTGAAGAGACCACCCGTGACTCGGAAAAAGGCCCAGACATTGACGGTCAAAGCGAACCCAAAAGAAAGCGCTGAATACAGCAAATTGGAAGTATTCGGCGGGGAGCCAGGTGGCGGCATCGGGGTATTGGACACCTGTGTACCCGCAAAAGAGAAGAAGAGAAACAGGAAAGTCCCCACGAACTCGCCCAGCATGCAAAGCAAGTTGTACCGCAGCTTGTCTGGGAGCCGCAGCATGGGCAGACGGCCCTGTTCACTGGAACCGGATGCCCCATTGAGCGTCGAGGCTTCGGTTGAGTGGCGTTTCCTGAACAACATCGTGAAGGGTAAGGGAGCCGGAATGAAGAGAACTAATTGAAGTCGGAGTTGACTAATGTCTCATCAGAATGAGAAAATCTCAGCCTCTTCTACTATCCATCTTTCTTTGCACTACAACCATTGTAAATCGAGACGTCACTACTCAATGCAGAGGCGTCGCAACTGGACCATGTATGATCGATTAGCGCTTGACTCAACCACAACGGAGCTTATTTATAGCAGTAGTGCCTTTTATCAAGTGAGATGGGATAGGCTCATGTTTCCCCGTCTAGAGAATAATAAGGTTAGGGTTTGGTGGAGTCAACGCTGAACGAGAGTATGCCTTCCGCAAACGGCTGCGGGAATCGGGTGTCTAGATCCTCCCACACGTCATTTTCAATGGATTGTCCAATGGTCTACTCCATACGGAGTATACCTAGGTGTCGATCTCCTCTGATTAGGCTAGCGTCTGAAATCTAGATCGTTCGAAAGATCTCTGAACGCCTTTAGGGTTTGACAGCTCGGATTCTACTATGCACGTTAGTGTAATGGTATACGTTATGCAGGTGTAAGGCCTTTCAACCGGCTTTTTGGAGGGAACACAATGTATTGATGGTGTGTCAAGACTAATTCTTGCCAGTCTCGAGGGGGCCCCTGGGGGGTCCCCAACTATAAGGAAATCAGTCTGCCTATGTTCATGTGACGAACCCTCACGAATCGACATCGGAATAGATGTATGACGACATAGATGTTCCTTCCCGAGCCTGTGCAGACTTACATGTGTTTCCCTCTTGTACGGATCTTTATCCGTTACAGTTAGAGACCTGGCGAATTGGAATCGCCGGTGAAGGACTACCATGATAAAGGCAAGCACAGTCTGCGTTTGCGGCCTCTGTCATTCGTTGGGTAATATCTTCTCCCTTATGAAAATTTCCAGGTTGACGGCAGAAAAAGGAGGGAAAAGTCTTTGATGGCAGCGTCAGAACGGTTAAACGGCATTGCCTCCCAATCCGTGTATTTCATATCGCTTAGCATGTTGTATAGTCCTAAGGAAGTATCCAGGCGGATCTTCTGACTCTCAAGGTCACCTGGACAATCGGGTTTATTAAATGGCTCGGCAGAAACCGGGCCGTTTGGAGCCGACGACATTCTCGCGTGTGGCCTGACCACGTGTACTTCGTATGACAACTCAACATACAGAATGATGTATACAGAGAGAAAAAAAGACCCTCATTGACATGGATATTTGTCTCTCTGTTTGGGGGTCGCATTTGGGCCTTATCTTGAATGAATTGAATGTCCTCGTCCTCAAGACGTGTTCTGCCAGATCATGGCAAGCGGTGAGACGGAAGAGCAGAGTCTGCCTTCAGAAAGATGGAAAGAATGTCACAATGAACAGAGAGCTAGTATCATTCATTATCGAGTTCATTTTCATGAGCATGAAGACTCATCACCTCGTCTCGCAAATATTAGGATCTAGATCGACGAGGACTAAAGGTGGGTCACATCACCTATCATACAGCTTAGATAGTGAATGACTTTCTGCATGTACCAGGAATATAAAACATGCGAGACAATTTTATGTACAAGCTAAAGTTGCAAGTCGCAAAAACTGACCGACTTTATCCCTTGCTGCGTTGCCATATGCCTCTCGGTGGTGCTCTCCGCGGAGATATCTCTGAAAATCCTCACAGATCATGCCAGACGCCTTCCGAATTTTCTAAACTCGGTTTCTTGCTGTTGGCAATCCGATTACGGTGAAGATAAATAGCTTGACAACCAACCAAATGCAATTAGTTTCCTATTACTCACATATTCTGATCTGTTACTTATAATTAAGCCACAGTGCAGACATCGATCAAACGTTTTCTTTACTCGATCGCCCACATACAACAGATCCATCATGGCTTCTAATCCGGGAATGACACCAGACCAAATCGCGCTCATTAAGGCGACGGTACCGGTTCTCGTGGAACATGGCAACACCATCACGACTGTCTTCTATCGCAACATGATCGAAGCCCACCCGGAGCTGAACACCGTTTTCAACAGTACCAACCAGGCCAATGGGCATCAACCACGTGCGTTGGCCGGTGCACTCTACGCATATGCATCGCATATCGATGATCTCGGCGCACTGAGCTCGGCGGTTGAGTTGATCTGCAACAAGCATGCCTCCTTGTATATCAAGCCCGACGATTACAAGATTGTTGGCAAGTACCTCCTCGAAGCCATGGGCGAGGTGCTCGGCGCGGCATTGACCCCAGAAATCCACGACGCATGGGGTGCAGCCTACTGGCAGCTCGCAGATATCATGATTGGCCGCGAAAAGCAGCTTTACGAACACGCCGAGGGCTGGACTGACTGGAGAGAATTCAAGATTGTGAACAAAGTCAAAGAATCCGAGGAAATCACATCCTTCTATCTCGCCCCTGTCGATGAAAAACCACTGCCGGCCTTCCAGCCCGGCCAGTACATTTCCATCCAAACCTACGTCCCGGCTCTCAAGCACTTGCAGGCCAGACAGTACTCTCTCAGCGACCAGCCGAAGCCGGACTACTATCGCATCAGTGTGAAAAGAGAACTGGGCCTCGACCCAGCCGCTCCAGGTGCCGCCGCTCATCCGGGTTACATCTCGAATCTGCTACACGATACATTCAACATCGGCGACAAACTCAATGTCTCCCATCCCTACGGTGACTTTTTCCTTCCCCCTGTCGAGTCGGAAGCAGGCAACCCAATCGTGTTGATCTCCGCCGGTGTGGGCCTAACACCACTGACGTCAATGTTGAACACATTGATTTCCAAATCACCGGCAACGCGCAAGCTGCATTTCATTCATGGCGCACGTTCATCGCGCGTGCGTGCTTTCAAGTTGCACATCTCCGAGCTTCCAAAGGAATTCCCCTCCATTCGAACCACATTCTACACGAGTCATCCTTCCGAGGGAGAGGTGGAGGGCGTGGACTACGACCATGCCGGGCGGGTGGACTTGACGAAGTTGCAGGATCAGGACTTGTTCCTGGATGATGCCAAGACAGATTACTATATTTGTGGACCCGGAAAGTTCATGACCGATATGGAGTCGAGTCTCAAGGCCAGGGGTGTGAGTGCCGATCGCATCAAGATGGAATTGTTCGGAACCGGAGGTATTCATTGAGTACTGAGCATGATGAAGCCAATTGTTTCTTTCCTGGCCGTTATTTGTTTCGAATTTAGAAGTACATATCTCATCTCTTGAAATTTCAAATTACGATTGACGAATGAAAGAAGTCACAAGATCCTTGCTTAAAGGTTGCCCATCTGCTGAGCAAGCAATGAATTTTAAAGGGGATAACTCCTCTCAGTTGGGTGGAGTTTACTTAGATTTCCAGGCAGCGGTGAAGGTTGGCGCAACATTCTTTGTTTAAAAGGCAACGGATCGACATCCATGGAATTATAGAGAATATTGTACAATCGTCGCATCCGGTCGTTGTTGCCATGGACTGATATCGATTTGTAAGCATTTGATCATGAAATGTGATATGTAGGATATAAGAGGCTCGAAAAATCCTCCAGTCAAGTGTTTTATATATACCTTCCCAACTACAGACTGAGTTGCCCTTCTATCATTCTCGCCACATATCAAAATGGGTACCAAAATCGGCGTCTTTCCCGCTTCTGGGGGCCTTGGATCAAGCATTGTGAACCACCTGGCAAAACTAGTCCCAAAATCCGATCTCGTTCTGGTTGGCCGACACCCCGAGAAACTGCACGACCTCGAGCAAGCTGGTGCTACGATACGGAGGGCCGACTATGATGCGCCATCAACATTAGACACAGCCTTCGAAGGCGTCGATGTCTTGATGCTGGTTTCATATGCATCATTCGAGATAGATCACAGGACCAAGGTGAGAAAATCAAGTGTGATAGCTCACCTAAGTACGGAGGAGTTGGGCTGATAATGATAACCAGGCACACATTCTTGCTATAAATGCAGCCGTCAAAAGTGGCGTCAAGCACATTTTCTACTCCTCCCTTGGATTCGGCGGTGATCTAACCGACCAGAGTATCGCTCATGTGATGGGCGCCCATATCCAGACAGAGAAATACCTCTCTTCTCTGCAAGAGAAAGTGTCCCACACCATAATCCGCGAGGGTCTCTACACTGAATCCTTCCCGATATATACCGCATTCTTCGATCCGAAGCATCCGACGGACGAGGTTACGATCCCTCACTCGGGTACAGGCCCAGGTGTGGCGTGGGTCAAGCGCGATGAGCTGGGCGAGGCAACCGCTAAGTTGATTGCCTCGTATGTCAAGAACCCGACCAGCTTCGGGCATTTGAACAAGGCTCTTCTGCTCTCTGGACCTCGGGAGATCTCTCTTGCGGAGACGGTTGAGATTATCGGTCGGGCGATTGGGAAATCGCTCAAGATCCGTGAGATCTCTGTCGATGAGTTCGTGAATCTTCCTCAGATTGGTGATAATCTTACCTACAGGGGGGTCAATCTGTCGAGAGAGTGGGCTACGGCTTGGGAGGCTATCCGACGGGGTGAGACTGCGGTTGTGACCCCGACTCTACGTGAGATCTTGGGGCGTGAACCGGAGAGCTTCGAAACTACTATCAAGGCGTTGATTAGATGAGCTTGATTAGATGAGCTTTTTTAGACTGCTCTGATTCGAACGTATGTATGCTTAAGGACTCAATCGATTGTTTTCGGAGATAGAACCAAATTTCGAGAAAGTCCGGTTACCTGGACGTTCATGATGTGTATATATATAGGGGTCATACCAACATAAAAGCCTCAAAAGCCATCAAGCCACTGCGTCATATCGACCCAGCGTAAACCTCGGAAAGATCCTAGCTAATGAAGATCCGCCGCGAATCAAGATCTAGGACAGTCGGGCCCGGAATCGAGTCAAGATCCGTGTACATATTCTGTGCAGATGACAGGTCTAGCGCCCGTTATTTCTCCACTAAGTCAAGGCGTGCCGGGTGGACTGACCCTCCCGAGGTCATCTTGGAGCCGTAACAGAGGTAACGGGCTAGCCTCGGTCTAGATGACTCGGTGCATGGAAGATTTTTTTAAGGTTGTGATAGATCTGAGATATCAGAATGAGATGGTCATTAGCCACAAATGTGCCACAAAGTCTAACGAATGCAATGTTTCCTCCGTATAACCGTCGAGAAATCCTCGACACTCAAACCTCCCAAAAGGATTCACCCGAGTATCAGGAGACGAACCCTCATGCCATGCGGAAACGTTGACCGGAGGTCAGAAATATGGAGAGAGACAGGAGCTTCTCGTATCGTCTCGGTCGACATCGGGAGGGTAAGGCGAAGAAGGGCAAGGGAATGAGAGCTTCCGAGTCACCCCACTCCGAAGTGCAGGTGGGACCGATTTGGGAAAAGGAAAAAAAGTGAATAAGCGGGGTTTAGCTGCTTCGCGACTGGTCGACACCGCGATCGAGGCACTACGGAGGTACTCTACGGAATCCAACTCGCTTTTTTATCCAATAGGCATCTTTGTTTAATGCATCTGACTTTGACATATCAGTTTTATATGTACGGAGCAGAAGTGAAAAATACCTGTGGCATAAAGTACCGTATTAAACTGATACCACGGAGTACGCCTCGTGGACATTGCCACAAGCGGGCGGAAACCGACAGCACTGCCGGGAATATACGTGACCTTTCCAAGAAACTCTGAATATCAAACTATTGAGCGGGTACGTATTCGTATATTGCATTAGTAGATGTATCAATTCATTTCGGATATGATCTCTCGTCTCTAATAGACTTTGTGCAGCATGGCATAGGTTAGCTGCATATCAATCCGTCTTTCGGAAAATTAATTGCTCGATGGAGTCGACGACAGGTGACTATCAAAGTATAATGGCGAGGCAAGCAATCAGCACGCGAGATGAGGAAACAGGATATAACTTTTACCGTAGGGGTAAGGAATGTAAGATGCAAAGCCGAGGATGGCTATACTGATAGTTTTGACATTGCCGCTTTTACTAAGATAGTTGAGGATCAATTTAGGGCTGCGTTGTCCGTATAACGCAGTACGGGCAGCTCTTGGTTATTCGATCTGATTGGTCACTAGCTACGGAGTAGTTAACTACTTGGAAGTATAGTATCATTGTCTATGATGAAAGAATGATTCTTTAACGGCATAGTTATAGATCTTCTAATATCAGGCATAGTTGTAAATCTCATAATCCCAATGAGCCACTTGCACGTGTTCAGACTCGGCATCATTGGCTTCCAAGTTGCTGTACATAGCCTGCTGGGCAGCCAGGTCTCAATTATACCACCCGTTCAAAGCAGCAAGAGCAAAATAAAAAAACACAAACCCCGTGAAAACAAGAAAGGAGGTACAGAATACATTAAAAAAGACATAAAAGACACAAAATACACAAAATACATAAAATACATAAAATACATAATATCGGGTCCGAGACTCGGCCGGCGGAGCCTTGAGCCAAGGCCTAGCCCACACGGTTTTTAACTTCAACCGTTTCACACGTTACAGCCCATCGGAAAATATCCTCGTCGGAGCCGGCCGTTTGAGATCTTAGGGGGGAACTCGGCTTCGACAACCCTGCAAGCGAGTGACCAGCCGGAGGCTAAGCCACTTTCGATACGTCTGGTCCAAACCTGACATCACAGGTCAATCTCGGCTTCGTACACAGGCGTAATCTGTTCCGGATCACCTTCGTACCCCTGTTTTTTTTCGGGACACACTCTGGGTTTATATAAATGCCCCGCGGCCGAAACCCATATCCTGTTCCATGATATCTTCAGTTCCGATTTATTTATAAATACTCGACTCTTTCGCCACCCTTTGCTCATAGCAACTCTTTCACCTTACTATATCACCCTACTGCCAAAACTTGCCTTCGAGGCCAACGTATGATCCAAGATGTGTATCATGGCTTGCAACCGATCCAATGAGATCCCCAATCTCTGCATAGACCAGGGGACCTACCTCAGCCAACACCTGAGTCCTCAGTCTCGACCAGCCGACTTCTTCGAAAGACCTGACCCTCTCGCTGCCAACTGGAGCTACGACAACGCCATTGACCTGTTCTCTATCAACCCCACCGACATGGAGCCCGTCTCATTCGACTTCGCCGACAGCCTCACCAACATCGAGTCCAAGGATCTCTTCAACGACCCCTTTGCCAGCTCCGGAATCAGTGGCTTCTCCATGCCCGAGGACGCAGCTTCTCTCTCATCCGTACGATTGTCCACCCTCCTATCAATGTCTTGACACACAGCTAATCTTTCTACAGGAGTTCGAAAGCGACGATCAAACATGGCCATCTGCTGCCCGGCAATCCATCGACTCGAACGCCTTCGAGACCGAGTTGACTTCAAACTACACCTCGTCTCAACCTCAAACACAGAGCAAGACTCGCTCATCCCCAGCAAGCTGGTCATCCAGTCCAGAGATGAAGCAAGAAGAGATTTCTACTCCTCTACCCTCCAAACCCACCACCTCCACATCCCGCAAGACCCGTAGCTTTTCCCGAGACTCCAACCGCTCCTCAACGGGCGGCCAAGACCCTCAAATGCGGAATGCAGCCAAGCGTGCCGCCCACAACATCATTGAGAAGCGCTACCGTACCAACATGAACGCCAAATTTGTTTCTCTCGAGCAGGCCATCTCGCCCTCGGGTGTCCAAAAACATACCAAGGTTGGCGCCGGGTCTCTCAAGAAGTCGGAGATCCTCAGCAATGCCCTCACCTACATCGATAGCATTCAGCAGGAGAACCAGGCCTTGCACAAGGAGCTCGCAATGCTCAAGCAAAACTTGCTACCGGCGGGAGGAATCTGGCGTCAGTCCAAAAACCCCCGACTTTGATCAGGTGCATACCGATCCAATCACAGTGATGCTGCTGCTTCTTCAAGTATCTTTGTTGTTCCCTTTGTTGTTCTCATGACCGCGACGAGCGTTGTATTCTTAGAGTAGCCGGTCAACGTGGTCCCGGTCGGCGTTCATATTCTTTCCTTGATTTTTCCTTTATTTCTTTTGGTGGAGTTCCGGATCCAGTGTTATTATTTGGGCTCATGTAGCCCTCTTCTCTTCTCAGACATGATTTGATTTTCGTGTCCTGGCGACCACAAAAGTGTTTTGTGACTTGTGATTCCCCTACAGGGACGGAATACCTCATGGATAGTGTCCTAAAGCATTAATATAATTGCCAAGACTCGGATTATTCATTTTGCTCAAATTTTCTCTTTTTCCTGATTGTGTGCGGGTATGGCCTGATGCTTCCCGATGTGGAAATAGTTGCCCTTGGGTGGTCCCATCCACGTATATATACCTGCAGTGTAAGTAATGTTCCTTCGTCTTGTGATCTTTGATGCCTGTGCTGGACTGACTGGCCACTCTTGGTTAGCAAGGTGAATTCTGCCAAAGTTTATGGCGTTTTGTATCGTGGCCTGGATCCGGCTTTCATATCGCTTTCAACATTGCCTCGACCTGGCTAATACCACGCATTGGATAGAACCCAGCCTATTCAACCCTCGGGTTTAGAGTCGACGGAAATGATGGGTCTACAAAGCAGGTTAAACAGTGTCACCTCGAGAGACGTACTCGGCACGCGGCCTTTGATCAGGGGGAACGGATAGCATAAGCGAAATATAGCACCGGAGGTTGCCTATAATTCCGAGCAAGGACTATGAAAAGGAGACAGCAGAGGGCTGACTATGCTAATTATAGCAGGCAGCAGAGACCGGAATGATTCCAGAAGCCACTCATCAAACCCCGTGGCCCTATCAGGGTGAATAGGTCATACTCCCCGTTGGGATTAGGCTGCGCCGTGCCTTAATATCGCTGCAATCACTCATATGCACGGACGCCATCAGACGACTTTGCACTTCTCGTGAACTGAGTTTGAGAATATGCAATCGATATTGAGCTTGTCGGTCTGTCACGGGCAGGAGTCCACCATGGCGATAATCAAATTGAACCATTCCGGGGTTCACGGGGCTGTTTCCAAACCGTGCGTCTACGGTCTGTCCTTCATTGGTCTACGTCGCCGTGTCTCGGTGTTTGCATCTTCCGTTTCCTTCCTTTTGTGGGGTTGAGCTGGGCAAGATTTAGATTTGGGGTCAGATGGATCGAGAGGACCCTACGGCGATGCCCAACTGAGGAGACCTCCTCAATCTTAGCGACGGCTGTTGATTCTCATTACGAAACAACAATTGAAGAAGTGGACCTTGATGGCAGTTTTCCCCGGACAAAGCTCAAAGCTGCTGCTTCAGTGGTGCAAAGCAAAGTGCATTCCGACTCCATCGTATCCAATTTCCCGCTTTCGATGAGAATATTGTCACGAGCCATCCTCGAGCCGGCCACCTGGCCCTCGGCTGATTATTGACCGATGTTTCAAGCTGTTGCCCCATATACACTTTGATATCACGATGGCTTCCGCCGGTCAAGCCATGGCTATGGCGCATACGGAGCATGTGGTATTGACTCCACATATATGTAGCTTAATGTCTCATATGAAACGCAGATATGCAGCTCTACCGTTTCTATTATGATGTCTATTTACACACCAAAGCATGTTTAATGAATTGACACCCAAACCGTACTGGAGCCGCACCGCTAATCGTTAATTCTTATCGGCCACGCATGGACTTGCCGCTTTGGGTCAGCCGTTGCCACTGACTGTATTTTGATGTTAACCTACAATGCTATTGATTTTTATATTGGGAAGATAGTTGTGAGATCACGCGGTTCTTGTTGGAATTCGCACTTTTGTTAGGCTTCGATGGATATTGAAGAGAAGCTGTTCAGGTACAACGGTCGGACCTCGGAGCTATGAAACGTGTGGCGGATGGAATTTGTGAACAAGCTGCGAAATACCTACATCCATGGATTGGATATGATATTCAATTACTTAACCAACGTCAATTCCACCATTCAATTCCAATTATACCCCAGTTCTTATCTGTGGAGTGCATTTTTGTGGACATTATGGACGACGGCCCACTGGAGGAGGTCCTCCCGAAGGCGACTCCCCGCAAAAACCAGAAATTTTAGTTAACTAGTAGATCGTTTCTATTATCAACATCTCCCAAGTCCATGACCAATCGTTCTGATTCAACCAAAACCTAGTATCAGCCCCGCCGCGTCATTGGCTACTCGCAATTGGTCTCCAGCTTTATCTCAGAATCCGCGAGGTGTCAAGGCGAACCAAATACGCCGGACGCCAGATATATAGAAATCATGATTCCCCCCCTGTGCTTCTCATTGATCTTCAATCAGAAAATGGGCGCGTTTCCCTCTTATTTGCCCACTGAGTTGACATATATTACCTCCGGCTGAAATACCACGGCATGGATTTGGAATACAATTCGCAACCCCTTAAGCCACCGCTGACGGATCAGCATGCGCAAGATGCACAGGATCTTGCTGATCTGGGTCATTCCCAGGCCCTGACGCGGAAGTTCGATATGTGGAGTATGCTGGCGCTGGCCTTCTGTGTACTTGGTATGTTTTCGTTTTTTCCCCCACCCGATGGAGCCCGAATGTGTGCTAACATGTCCAAGGAACCTATTCGACCTTCGCCCAAGATCTCAGCAGCGGTCTGACAAATGGTGGTGCTATTACTATCCTCTGGGGTCTGCTGCTAGTCACAGCATGCAACCTCTGTGTTGCGCTCTCACTGGGCGAGTTGACTAGCAGCATGCCGACCGCCCTCGGTCAGGCCTACTGGGTATATCGACTGTGGGATACACCATTGGGTCGATTCAATTCATACATGTGTGCATGGATCAATGTATTTGGATGGTGGACCTTGACTGCGTCGCAGGTTGCCTTCATGACTGAGTTCCTGCTGGGCATGAAAACTATGTTTGACCCCGAGTGGGATGGAGCCAACAAGGGCTGGCTCAATTTTGTTGTGTATATCGCGGTGGTCTTTGTGCTGACCCTGATCAACGTCGTCAGCTGCCGTAAGGAGAAGATCCTACCCTGGCTTAACAACTTTGTTGGAGTCTGGTTCTTCGGCCTGTTCATCGTTCTCTCTCTTGTGCTACTTATCTCGGTCGGAACCAAGAGTAATCTGTCGTTCCAGCCGGCTTCTTTCGTGTTCGGTGCTTGGAAGAATGAGACTGGCTGGGGCGACGGTGTGGTTTGGTTCACCGGCTTGGTACAGGCAGCGTACGGGTTGACCGCGTTCGATTCGGTTATTCACATGGTGGAGGAAATCCCTGCGCCTCGGAAGAATGCTCCTCGAGTCATCTGGATGGCCGTTTTGTTCGGTGCCGTGACTGGATTCATCTTCATGGTGGTCTGTCTGTTCTGCATCCAGAATGTAGACAATGTCATTAACGCCGACCTCCCCTTCATGGAGCTTATTGTCGAGACTGTTGGACTGAAAGGAGCCGCTGTACTCCTTGCACTGTTCATTTTCAATGGTCTAGGCCAGGGCATCAGTATCCTGACCACTGCCTCCCGTTTGACCTGGGGCTTTTCCCGCGACGGTGGTGTGCCTTTCAGCAACTACTTCAGCCACGTCGACCCTGTATGGCAAGTCCCTGCTCGCGCTCTCTGGGGTCAGAGCATTGTCATCGGTATTGTCGGCATCCTATACCTATTCGCCAACACTGTGCTCGAGGCGATTCTCAGTGTCAGCACTATTGCCCTGACTGTCTCCTACGCCATGCCGATTCTTGCCTTGCTCGTCGTCGGCCGTGATAAATTGCCCCCGGGTCCATTCAAGCTCGGTCGCATTGGGCCGTGGTTGAACTGGGTCAGCATCTTCTACTGTATCATCACTACCATTTTCTTCCTGTTCCCTGGCAGCCCCAACCCGGCGCCCAGTGATATGAACTTTGCCATTGCCGTGTTTGGCGTTATGCTGGTCATCGCTGTTGCATTCTGGTTCATCCGAGGCAACCGAACATATCTTCAGACTGAAGATGCCATCGCCTCGATGGTCTACGCCCACCATCTGGAATTGAATGAGGTGGGTGTTGATGGCTCTGTTCCTGTTGTTCAAGCTCCAGTCATCGTCGATTATAAATAATACCATGGGCTTTCATCTTTTGTGTATAGAAGCTATACTATTTTTTTTGGACCGACAGGCATGTACATATTTATACATATGCATCACCATAATCCGGTTGGATTTTGTATACTTGTAACCAGGTTGTCGCGTTTTCATATAATGAAAATCTAGAGATAATTGAAGTCAATGGCTTTAATATATACTCCTTAGGAATTCTATGTACTAGTACGGAGTAGTATTATCATCATTTCTTAAAAAAAAAACATAACTTGGCGGAAAGTCACGGGGTACGGAGTACCGACGGGCCATGGAGACTGTTGCAACCCCAGAGAACCTTGTCTGCGACGAAGTCGACATTTTAATATAACTTGGACAACACATAGAATCGCTAACAGTCCGGGGCCAACGGGAGCTACCATCTCGACCCCTGATAGGTGTCACGAAAGCAAGCGTCCCAAGTACTCTGTACTCATCTCACCTCGCATTCTTGCCCAGCCATTTTTACCCGAGACTGAGATGTCACATCGAATAATGAAGGGAGATAACTAGAGATCACCAGCCACAACTGTCTCCAGTGCCTAAATTATGGCACTAGCATTGGAATTCTGTGACCCCAGCCTCCGACGCACTCCCGACGCACCCCCGACGCACAGCAATCCAAACAAAATCGATGGTCATTCGGGTTGCGACAGCACATCTCAACGCCACAGAAACCTAGCACCTATCCCTCCAAGCTTGTCTTGAAAATTTGATGAGATAGCCTAATTGCCTGGTGCAGCCGTGCATGATGACCCAAATTTGGCAGGAGAAGAATGATTTTGATCATGAACATATCCTCTAGCGGATTCCCATCGATCAGATCTGATCGCAGATGAACTGTGGGCTTCATGTAAATTAGAATCAGAGCTGATCTCATTTTAGGGCCAAGTCATCCAGCCACCCGGCAATACAAGCCCCCTGACGCCCCTCGCATTGCTTCCTTCAAACACAGTGGGTCAACCCCTGCCGATCATAAACGCGCCCCCGACGGAGGCCCAATATCACAATGGGATAGAGGGCTTGCTTCTATACCGATCCCATCAGTAACAATTCGCTCTCCGGTTGGGAAAGGATACCGCGGCGATGCGAGTATGGAGCCAGATCCCGAAGATGCAATCCCGGCCACCGCTACTAGCGATTATTGATTTAGAACAGTCTTACCAGGCGGGCATCCACAAAGGGTCCACTGTTGCGCCAAGCGAATGACGTGAAACTTTGATTAAAGAACTCCGTTGTCAATATTATTGTCTTATCCTGGTTTATCCTGGACTTCTTCAACACACATTCTTTGTCGCTCCATCATTCCCCCCACCAATGCAACCATAATAAACACCAATTTACGGTCTTTACCCCTCCTTTGTATTTGATAGTCTTCTGTCAGACTATTTATACTCCCTGTATTCGCTGCGCAGAGGCCCAGACTGATAGGGTGTCCTCATATCGCTCGTTTTTTTATCATGATTGCATCCCTATTTAGCCGTGGAGCATTGTCGCTCGCGGTCTTGTCGCTTCTCGCGTCCTCTGCTGCAGCCGATGTATTTGAGAGTTTGTCTGCTGTTCCTCAAGGTGAGCAACTTGCGTTCGAAACGAAACCGACGGAATTGATACACTGACCCACCATAGGATGGAGATATTCTCGCAGGCCGCGTGCTGATCAGCCCTTGAAGCTACAGATCGCTCTGACACAGGGGGATACTGCCGGCTTCGAAGAGGCTGTGATGGAGATGTCAACCCCCGATCACCCTAGCTACGGGCACCACTTCACCACCCACGAAGAAATGAAGCGGATGCTACAGCCCAGTACGGAGTCCGCAGAGTCAATCCGTGACTGGCTCGAAGGCGCGGGTATTACCAGGATCGAACAGGATGCAGATTGGATGACCTTCTACACCACCGTGGAGACGGCAAATGAGCTGCTGGCAGCCAATTTCCAGTTCTATGTCAGTAATGTCAGGCACATTGAGCGTCTTCGCACACTCAAGTACTCAGTCCCGAAGGCTCTGGTGCCACACATCAACATGATCCAGCCAACCACCCGTTTCGGCCAGCTGCGCGCCCATCGGGGCATATTACACGGCCAGGTCAAGGAATCCGACGAGGCTTTCCGCTCAAACGCCGTGTCCGCTCAGCCGGATTGCAACAGTATCATCACTCCTCAGTGTCTCAAGGATATATATAATATCGGTGATTACCAGGCCAATGATACCAATGGGAACAAGGTCGGGTTTGCCAGCTACCTAGAGGAGTATGCACGATACTCCGATCTGGCACTATTTGAGAAAAATATCGCGCCCTCTGCCAAGGGCCAGAACTTCTCCGTCACCAGGTACAACGGCGGTCTTAATGATCAAAGTTCCAGCGGTAGCAGCAGCGAGGCGAACCTCGACTTGCAGTACATTGTTGGAGTCAGCTCTCCTGTTCCCGTCACAGAATTTAGCGTTGGCGGCCGTGGTGAACTTGTTCCCGATCTCGACCAGCCTGATCCCAATGATAACAACAACGAGCCGTACCTTGAATTCCTCCAGAACGTACTCAAGCTCGACAAAAAGGACCTTCCCCAGGTGATTTCTACCTCCTATGGTGAGGACGAGCAGGTATGACACCCACCGCCCTTTGTTCGTGATTTTGTCGGTCTCTAATATCAACCTGTAGAGCATTCCCGAGAAGTACGCTCGCAGTGTTTGCAACTTGTACTCGCAGCTCGGCAGCCGTGGTGTATCCGTCATTTTCTCATCTGGCGACTCCGGCGTTGGGTCCGCGTGCCTGACGAACGACGGCAGGAACGCGACCCGCTTCCCACCCCAGTTCCCCGCCGCCTGCCCGTGGGTGACATCAGTCGGCGCGACAACCCACACCGCGCCTGAACAGGCCGTGTACTTCTCGTCTGGCGGCTTCTCCGATCTCTGGGCTCGCCCGAAATGGCAAGAGGAGGCTGTGAGTGAGTACCTCGAGATCCTGGGTAACCGCTGGTCTGGCCTCTTCAACCCTAGGGGTCGTGCCTTCCCCGATGTCACAGCCCAAGGTCGCAATTACGCTATATACGATAAGGGCTCGTTGACCAGCGTCGACGGCACCTCCTGCTCGGCGCCTGCCTTCGCCGGAGTCATCGCCCTCCTCAACGACGCTCGCCTCAAAGTCAACAAACCACCAATGGGCTTCCTTAATCCTTGGCTGTACTCGACAGGGCGCGCCGGCCTAAAGGACATTGTCGATGGCGGCAGCACGGGTTGCGATGGCAATAGCCGCTTCGGTGGTGCCAAAAACGGTGGTCCGTCGATACCAGGTGCTAGCTGGAACGCTACTAAGGGTTGGGACCCTGTTTCTGGTCTTGGGTCGCCCAACTTTGCTACCATGCGCAAGCTTGCGAACGCTGAGTAGGTTGCGAGTTTTCTTGTTGATGTAATGTACTGAGTTTTGGATTATGATTGATTCCGACCGGTTGGGAAATTCCGGTACGCATACGTGCTAGTTATATACACATAGATGCTGTTCTATATTTGCAAATATAATGATCTTGTGGCTGGCTCGATTTGTCGGCGCTTGTGCAATATGTATGTAACTATACGTACCGGATTTTCCCTGGCGGGTGGGGCTTTCCTCTTTGATCTGCCGCCGCTTTTATGAGGGTGCTCAGGCTCAGGCTCACTGAGTAGATGTCAGCATGGACTCAGATCAGTGATCAGCACTAGCACCAGCCCAACCCGTACCAGTATTGCGGACTTCATCCGCACGTCTTACATATTTGGAACAAGGTCCAAATGTGATACGCATAGCAATGGCATTTCGCTGTCTGGGTAAGAAATCCTAGCGGTCAAGTTTCATCCCGGCCTATTATTGCCCCTGAAGCAAACTTAAACATCGAACGAACAAGTACCAAGGGTAATGGTATTGACTCTCCCAGGAACGACTGAATGATCGACAGTGAAATTTCTGAATAGCCACGAGTGCTTCCTTGTGCCAGAAAGTAGCTATAATAATTGCACCGAAGACACGCTCTTAAGCTAACCAAATTTATTAGTTGGTACATACCCCGGCCTTGTTATTTCAGTTGAGTTGTAGCCTTGAATTCTTGTAAAAAGTGGCTATGAAAAGTGGCTTGAATTGAACACTATTGTCTTTCACTCAAACTGGTATTTGAAAGTAGTCATAATTTAAGCCATTCATGCCGCAGCAGCTCTGCAGCCGACTTTCGATGAGCCGGGTCAATTTCAAGCATACCTCGAAGAAAGTCGATGAAGATGGGGATCTCAGCGTCGGACATGTCGTGGGGTCTAAGAAAAGGCTTTTCAGCGCCATTTATAAGCCTTTCAAGACTCGTCGGTGACAGCTTTGGAATCCGAATAAGATCGCCTAAGTAGAATTAGTAAAAAGAAAGAAAATTTGATATCAGCACCTGTTGGCATTACCATTCGTCTCAAAGAACTCTGCAGTCCGTTTTCCTTTTCGTAGAAGCTCAGGTGGGAAGTTCCCAAGTATCTCGATTGTCCTTGCGAGCCGGTCATCATCAACCGTCCACGAGCCGTTTTTTGAAGCCACTCCAGAAAAAGGCACTATCCCCTGGATAAACTCAAGGATCTATAGAGAATTAGGAGATATACAAACCTCACCATGCTTTAAGTTGGTAGGTTGAATACTCACAAGGCAACCAAGGCTCCAGATATCAACTCCAGAATCCCAATGGGCGCCAATTATGACCTCTGGTGCTCGTAGAGCTGGAGATTGGACCAAATCTGACAGATGGTTGTCTGCCCAAGAAGCTATAGCTATTATAAGTGTCGTTCGGAAAGACGAGCGAGCGCTACGTACCAACACCGAAGTCAACTATTCTGATATAAGGTTCATGTATCTCTGAGATGAGCGGTGTCCTGATGACCTCTCGAAGTGGTTTGATAATACCACACTTATTACTAATCCGTGCAGGGGTTTCCGATAGATATTTTGTAATGCTTTCTTCCGGACTTTCTAGCTCGAGTAGTATGTTCGTAGGTTTTAGATCTGTATATCAACTGTAATTAGCGCCATGATTATGGCAAGAAGGCGATCTGTAACCCATGTATACCGGTATGAATGATTCTGCACTCCCTATGAAGGAAATCCAACCCTAGTAGAAGCTGTCGCGCTATCGTTCTTACTGCCTTAACGGGCAATCTCCCATCCTCGTATTTTGCGGTTTGAAAATCCAAGTGGTGGCCTAACACGTCGAACACAAAGCATACATGCTGTCCGTTTGGCCCCTCGTGTTGAAATTGATCTAGAAGCGGTAATACATAGTGTCGGCCGCTATGGGTGCTCTTCTCGGTGATATTTGATAATCTGGAGAGAATTTCTCGCTCGAAGATATCGTGCGAGCCACTGTAGCAATCGGCTCTCAGTATTTTGAGTGCCACAAATCTCTGGGCCCTTCAGTTCTCGATCAGCTCCATGTTTTACAAAATTGGAGAACTACACTCACTTGGAATCCCTGGCTAACCAAACGGTGGAATACTGCCCGTAGCCTAGTTTCCTCATCACTTTGTATGTACCAAACTTGAAAGTGTCACCCAGCGAAACGGGATGGAAACCTCCCATAGAATAAAAGTCTGCCTCTTCTGTTATCTGGCGTGGATTGGGAGATCTTGATGTTTGAGAAACAGGTTCAAAGAATTTTGAGAGCCAAGGTCGAGAATTCACCCGATTGAAAGCCTTTTTGAAAGTGGTAAACATTTTGAGATGTTATCTGCAAAATTGGATGCATTAATCTTTTCCGCCAGTCGAGCAAATAAAAATGATCAGGAAGATCGCGAACCCTTATAAGTTATCTGACGCGACAGTCACGTGCCTCTCCTGTGCCAAGATTCGCCAAGTAACAGCCTCTTCTTTCGCTGCTCGTGGACCGGCATGTGAAGTTAAGCTGCTGGGGTGTCTATGCACGGAGATCTACGGTCCATATCCAAATTCGGTTCGGATTGTGCAGTGAGTACAGTAAAAGGATAAGGCCGGCGTACTTCCCCGTTTGCGGCGTGGCAATAGTTCATCGCCACAGTCGCATCGATGTGACTACTATGTCTCCATGTTCGCTCAGCTCGTGCATGCCTCCGTCTATCGAGCATCTTTGTGCTTAGCCAGCGAGATGCGCTTAAGATTTCTCTGAAAAGTATCAATCTACGGCTGCCCGCTCTGTGTTGCTTAAGCCAAGGCGAGTATGGAATTAACCGGTATGGAACTTCATTATGCTATTCGCCTACGGCTTCTAGGCCTCCCTACCTGAGACCACTTATCGAATAACATAAGGGGAAGACGGGGAGAGATTGGGAGAGAGATTATGCACGTCGCACGGTCGCACAGGATCGCACAGGATTGCACAGAATTGCACGGAACTACACAGGTTATACGCGTCGCAGAATCGCACTGGATTGAAGATAATGTTTCGTTTTGGACCTTTACTAATCCGTCCAGCTCCATACCCCCCCACAGATCGCAAGGCTACCTACCACCTTCGGTCCGAAGGGATATGTGTACATTGGATAAAGCATATATTACAAAATTTGAGTGTAGAATTCTGTACCCAAATTCGATTTGACCTCTTTTCAAACCCAATCTTTATCTCATCAGTCTCAGGAAACAATAGTCATATACAGCAGCTCGCCCTAAAGTCGAAGGACCTTAGCCAACGATGACGATCAAGGTAACATGCGATGGCGCTAAGCCGGTAAGACGGGTACCTGGTAGACGAACACTGAATCTAAACGCGCAAGGATCACCAAGATGGAGATCTATTTTCTCCGATTCGCGAGCCAGTGAATGAATAGCGTTGCTCTTGAAACAGTATCTTCGCAAAACAGACTCCATGTGAGATATACTATTTGCAGACCCGTTGAAGTAAAATGTGCATACTATGCTCCTTATTCCTTGAATACAGGCTCGGACTTCTCGATATCCTCCTTGCTCAAACACCACTTGTCTTGCAGCGCAGGATCAAGACTCAAAGCATAGACATCCTTGGGCCACCATTCACCCCAGCTAGTCAAGAAAATCTGTTCCGGATCAGCGGGAAGATTCTCGACCGTGACCGCGCGGAGGATATTCTGGGCACCTATTAATTGTTAGATATCATCTTCAAATCAAAAATCCAAATCCAAAGATCCTTACCCTCTGGCACGGTCTTGGCATCGGGCATATCCATGGACAATCCTAAGCTCGAATGCTGGGCGAGCTTGGTGTTAGGGATGAGACCCGGCGAGACAGCCACGACTGTGCAATTTGGGAGGCTACGACGCCAGTAGTGTGCACCCAGAAGCTGGGTGAATTTCGATGCACTATACACTACTCTGGCGTTTGCACCGGAGTTTGCTTCTAGGTCAACGTCAAGAGTGGCTAATATGAAGTCAGCCTTGTGAACAACTTTGCTTTGGACAGCAACACGACTGGGAGAATGGAACTAAACTCACCTGGATCGCCTCCTCTCACATTACGAATTGCACCCGAGGATACAATGACGATACGTGATCGCGAGGCAGACAGGGTCTCAGCAAATTCGTGTGTCAGGTAATGCTGGGCTGGGTTGCGATAGATGAATGATTAGCTCTAGCCTCCTAGACTCCTTTCTTTAGTAGCCGATGAGTCGTTTTAACATACCTAGATGGTTTACCACGTATGATTCGCACCATTGCGAGCCATGAGGTCCCGGCCCTTCAGCGCTAGCAAGGAAGCCCGCAATAAGGAAAAGATAGTTCAACGGCCTTTTGCCCAATTCAGAGAGTGCTTGCTTGGCAAAGCTCTGCACACTCTTAAGATTCAGAAGATCCAGGGGCAAGATAGAGACGTTGTGCTTTGAAGTGTCGAATTTCAAATCATCGTACGCGACTCGTGTCTTTTCTGTGTCACGAACGCCTAGAATGAAGCTGTACGGCTGTGTCTGCTGGAGTAACTGCTTGATTGTTTCAAATCCCTATGACCGATGTTAGGATCCTGAATATTCCAAGGGCATATAATTCTTACCAAGCCAGACGAGGTGCCTGTCGCGATGACGGTTTTTGCGATTGATGACATTTTCGAATACAGTTGTATCTACGGAGTAGTGATATTCTGATCTTCAGTGGAGGGGCAGGATAAACAGATGCTGATTCAGTGCAACCCGATGACGTCATGGGTTTTCTCAATATATCCTGGTCGTTGCAGTGCGGAAATTTCATTATGCATCTCAAATCCTACTTCGTATTACATGCGAGTAAGAAAACACGGTCGCTTATCCGCTAGAAAAAAAAAACTTATTTTATCAGGACAGGCATTGAATCCCCAAACGAAACATCAAATCATCCGCGAAGTTAAGAAATAACAGCCATCAAAGCAGAGCCGAAAAGAAGCGCAATCATTCCAACACCGGACTTGGAGATGGGCTGGTTGGAAATAGCGGCATTTGTGGAAGTCGAGGCAGCAGACGAGTGCGTGCTACTACCGGTGCCTGAGGAAGTGGACTCTGAGCCCGTCGCTGTGGCTGTAGCGGTCGCATTGAGAGCGGCGTTGCAAAAGACATCGCGATAGTTGCCACTCTTGCTAGTGAGGCAAGACTGAAGCTTGTCGACATTTTGGCCTTGCGCGAGACAGTAGATGCCGCAGTCGTTGTCGTACTTGGAGACCTTCGCGTCCTTGCAGCATTCATCCATCACATCGGTCATATTTCCGCTAATGACGGCCGCACAAGCTGAGTCTGTCGTTGGGATTTGCCAGACACTGCCACCGCAGGCAGTACTGGTTGCGCTCACGGACGAGGTAGTGGAGGAAGTTGTAGACATTTTGAATTGTGAAATTTGGTGAATTCGAAAGATGGTTTGAATAGTCTGAAGAGAAAGAAAGAAAATGCAAAACAAAGAGGTAAGATGGGTCAATCTATCTGAGACATTGAGCGCCTTCCCCTCTCTTAGGTATTTTTGTTATTTTACAGCTAGAATATGAGCACCTGTGGGATTGAGGCCGAAAATGACCGCTTTTGAGGCCAGAAACGGCTGCCTTTCCACCCGTAATTTTGCACGTCCAGCCGCCCTAAGCTGGAATCTTCATCACAGCATGCGACGCGCTCGTCTCGAAAAAGTAGGCGCCCAGAAGATCAGCCTAGGTGGCAGCGGAGGGGTGAAGGACGACCAGGCAAAACGAAGGCGTCCACTATCAAACATTTGCCACGTCGATTAAAGCGATTACGAGCTCAGTGAGTTGTGTGGTGATTCTTTTTATTTGTATATTTGGATGCAGTTCAAGAGATTGATTATAGACCTTATCTCGGAAGCATTTCTGGCTTAGCAATATACGAGTTCCAGACTATAGTTTACTTTGAATAGCTATAACAGTAACTTGCATTCTGATGGCGTCCGGGTTCTGCAACCTTTATTATAGGTAAGGCTAGAGTCTACATCGGGTCGATGATTGGCTTCCAAGGAGATGACTAAACATGCTGTTCTCAATCGCAACAATGAAACCAAAATGAATACTATGTGTAAGCTAGGGAGGCAAGATTTCATGGCAAAGGAGTGAGTCCAACGAGATTGAGACCCGCTTTGGTTATGATCTCTCGGAGGGAAGCAATGTCAAATTCAAGCCGATCACTGCCCTGGGAGCTTGAGGCAATTGCGCCGTTAAGAAGGTCGTCTTTGGTGAGATAAATGGGCTGTTCAAACGACCCATGAACCGGGAAAATTCGGTTGCTCCAGATCATGTATGCACTGCCTGTAGAATTTCGTCCCCAGAGTTCGATTGTTCCAGCAACACCTTGTCTGCGCTGGAAAAATTTCAAAAGAAGAACCTTACGCACACTCGGTCCCACTCCTTCCAACCAAAGTTTCGCATCATCAACGAGGCTTCGATATGTCTGACTGAAGCCAACCTCAATAACTATCCTTGGTTCACGCAAGTTGGGAAGTCTGAAGCAAGAGATGAAGGTATAGGGTTCTTTTTGATCACCGGTGTATGGAGGGTTGCTAGCAGTAACTCGCGGGCTTGCTGTCACCATAACGTTGAGATGTTCATCAGGAGTAAGTTGACCGTTGATATTCCAACGGGTCAGCTGTTGGACAAACCACGCGTGCGGGGCTGAATGGGTATAATTTGGCATTTTCAGTGTTATAACTTTCCTCTGGGAGAATAATCCTTTTCGAACACGGGGGAACTTTGCGTCGAGAAGTTTTAAAAGATCAATTGCAATTTCATGATCCACCGAGGTAAGGACAACAAACGAGTAGAGAGACTGGTTGAAGAATCCACTGCCTTGGATTATCGCCAATGCCTCGTCGGCAGATTTGATTTTGTCAAGGGAGATTTCTTTGTCAAGGGCGTAGTCTTCACTGCCGGATGACTGTTCGGAAATCCCGCTATTGGCTGGCGTGGAATTGAGTGGTGAAGACATGATGTGCAAAAGAAAAGGAGGGGGGTGCTTGAAGATGGAAAGTGCAAGTATGGAAGGCGCGAAGTGAAGTACAATTGGGACACGTGATCAAGGGAAGCATTGAGATTCTGTTAGGATCGCATGGTCTCTATTGGGTAGTACTAATTACTAGCTAACTAGTTAGTTACTCAAGCAGTTTCTCAAGCAGTTTCTCAAGTGGTTGCTTGAGTAGTTACTAAAGAGTTGACGATAAAGCAGTTAACGATAAAAGTTAATAATGATATGACAAAAGGGACTTAATTTTATTACTGGTTTACATACAAATTGTAGGTACCTACTGCCATACTACTAA